GGTCTAGACCTGCTCTATTTCGAAAAGTATCCTGAGATAACTTCTGTTATGAATTGGCGCTATACAAATAAAACTGAACTGAATTACATTGAATATCTTTAGGTTTTGGACTGTTGGTCATACAAAATAAGTAATATGATGATGCCTTGGGCTCTGAATTTTTTTTTTTTTTGACATTTTATAGACCAAGAAATTAATCAGCAGATTAATCAATAGTGAAAAACACTGTACACATGAGAAAGTATAGTAAATACAGTGACCCATACTCTTATACAAATGACAAGCCATAAAACAATTTGATTTCCTAGATTAAATCTTAGAAACTAAAAATAACTACTTAAAAAGCAGTATATCATTCAAGGCAGCAGTGTTCAGAGTGAGGAGAACTTTAATGCAGCTTAAGCACAATACAAAATGGCTGCAGGAATCAGAGGAAGAGGAAAAACAGCGAATCAATTAAGTTCTACATTTATTTGATTTTATCCATTTTGTCCATAGTTTCTGTCAGTTCTGATAATGTACACAACAAAGTAACTGCTACTGAGATTTAGGAACACAGTGACTTTTTTAAGACATGTCTGGAGGGGAACGCTATGCTTAGGTCAAAGCTAAATGCGAGCCAAAAGCAAAAAGATTGGACAAACCTGGACACAAATAAAGATTGTTTTACATCAGCACAGATTTATAATCTTTGACAGTCAGGAAGGAGTTTATTATCCTAAAAATGATAGCCAGAACTACAAAAGTAAGTCCACTGTGGATGCTACTAATGTTGAATAAAATAACTGGTTCAAAACTACATGAAACCTCCCTCTTTGTAATAACTGATAGAAACCCAGGACGGAAAACTATGTTTCTGTGGCAGAAATGTACAACAGACAAAAGGAAGAAAACCTACAAACAGAGGTTCCACTGTGTGGTTGTGTGTATATGGGTGGCTAAGCTCCCAGCAGGAGTGTGTTGACTTGAAGAGATCTCCCTTGTCTTGGGCTCCAAGTGAGGCCCTCCTCCATTGCGCTGCTCTACTTAGCATTAGCTAAGCGAAGAGCACGCCTGCCACTGTGCACCAGTGAATCAGGGTATTAAGCTGCATGATAAAGCCTGTGATGCTGCGGGGCACGTTCAACTCCCACTGACGCAGCTCACCGCAGTCCTCTGTGGACACTTTACCGCCTTCAATTACACAACAGCTTTCTGCCTACACATGCACCTTACCTCTCCGTGGTTCTCTTTAATGGACACCACATGCAGAGCTGGGGGGCTGTTAGAGAACATTGGGGAAGAGATTTCGACACAACAAAGCCGAGAGAGAGTGTTGGTTTGTGTGTTTGAGTTTTAATTTCTTTCTTGTGCAATGAGAAATATCTCAGAACAATTTGAGGTGCTCACTTTTTCCCCAAGAGATATGCAGTGTTATTACCAGACTTTTATTGACTTGTAGGTCTCATTCGGCTCAGTCGTGCCATTTCAGTCCATCTCTCCACTCATCATATATAAAACCACAGTCTTGCTTCTGCAATATAGAAACATGTGAGACTGTGAATGTCAATCCAATTCAGAAACAGTAAGAATACTTGCAGGCAAAAAGAGAACAATGTAATTCATGCTTTAGAATAACATCAATTGACCCTTCCGCCCCTTTTTGTTTTGTGTTCTAAAAACAGTTGAGCAAGCTTCTGTCAGAACCTGAGTCAACACATATATAAATCAGTCCACAGGCAACCAGAAACATCAAACAAGTTCTTGTTTTACAAGGTTACAACCTGTTCACTCATTGGCAATAAAAAGTGATTAATAAATACAAACATATGGCACCTTTAAACAAAAGCAATCTACATGCACCAGTTCAAACATAGCATTCTAAGACGGAAGTTATAAACATACCTCTGCATTTAAATTCTCTCATTTAAAGACTCATGTCTTGCATATTTCAGCGTTTACATTTTTAATCACAAATGTATTTTACTTGCAGTAAAAAAATGTTTTTGTAGTGATAGATTTGCTCTCAAACCTATTCTGTTAGATTGCATAATTAGACAAAAAAGTAACTCCATACTACTCCACATATGCAGAGGGCTGCATACCACAGAATCAAACCAGCAAGAGAAAAATCTCTGTGTGTATGTACTGGGTAATCTGTAAGTCAGCAATTTTCCTCCTATATACTTGTGGCCTTGTGAAAACTCTGAAAACAGACCCACAGTTTTGGTGGCAGTTTATCTGGACTGTGTCTTTTCAGCTCAACTCTCTCGCTGCTCTGCTCTCTCAGTGCTCTTGACAGGACTGGATATCCACTGGTAAAATGCCACCAACTCCTAGTACACATACAGTGACACTGTGACAGGTCAGTGGTGAAATTGCTGCAGCCAGCCATTCAGCATGTCTACAGCACACATTTACATAACCAGGCGAGCCCTCTGCAGACCTGATCCCTGGCTATCTTCCACAGACTACTGATACACTTTGATTTGCTCAACTGAGGGATCAACGGCAGCTTTATCACTCAAACTTTGTTTTTCACGGTTGGGATTGAACCACTGTGTTAGGATTGGTCTTTTATGATTTTTAGACCTTCAAGCTGGCTATAATAAACGTGAACTAGCTGTTTCTCATTTTGCTTGTTGTGATGAGGAGAATTCATACAGTAGTTTAGAGCAGAGCACAGTGGGAGTACTTCATGTTTGGAAAAGCAATTCATTCCACATGCCATCTTCCATCACCTTCAGTACCGTCCTCACTACCCTCAGGTCATGAAAACTATTTTCCATGCCTTCGTTGTCATTATCTAATCAAATTAGCATGGTCATTGAACCATAGGCTTATGGGGACACTTGCACCATTCACTGTCTGTTTATCTATTTATTTATTCATTGGCAATCTGTTAAAGCCCATCCTGCCTCAGCTCTTTATGACTTTGAACTCCCTTAAATCGTTTTGTTTTTTTTCTGCCTTCTCCTGTCGATAGCTGCCCATCCTGGTGTCGTCTGTAGTCAGTCTGTACTTCCTGGAGTGGACAGATGTGTTCAAGCCGGTGAAGTCTGGCTTCAACTGCCATGACCGAAGCCTGAGCCTGCCCTACATCGACCCAAACCATGAGGTCATCCCCCTACTGATGCTGCTCAGCCTGGCCTTTGCGGGACCTGCTATCACGGTAAGGGTTGAAAACAGACAGTGGAGAAAAGAAAAGTATGAGACAGAAAACTTTGACTTCAGTTTCAGAAGGTTTTCACACAATGAAATACATCCATGGCATTAGCACAGGAAGGAGAGGGGGCTTCGGGCATTGCCAGCCCCCATTGCCCATTTTACCATTTTTTTAATATAATCTCTGATATAACTAATTAAAACCCTGTTATATAACTATTCTACCTTGAAATAACTTACTATTTTTTTGCTACACTGAGTTGTAATAGGGTGAATGGTGCTTCTGGCATTCAGACTCATATGCCTGTTCTTGCACTGTGTAACTTTTGGTTTCATTTCAGAACAAATGCTTTACAGCAGTAGTCACACACCACCAACTATGTCAGTGATTTTGGTGAAAGTGGATCTTATTTTATATTTTATTATTTATTTATATAATTATAATTATAGATTATTGCATCCTAATGTAGATGTAGGACTGACGATCAGGCAGTCTCTCCAAGTAAGCTATGATCGCAACAATTAACACAAATTCAACCAATCCCTATCAATTCTGCGCAACCTCGCAACTTTGACTGCTTTGATTAGTTTCCTGCAAGTTTCACCAATAATGCGTCCTCCATGCAAAACTATGAGCCATATGTAAACAAACTAGGTAAGGCTTGGCTAGGCTAATGTTAGCCAAATTTACCACTGAAAATGCCACAAACAATTTATTTATTTATTTTTATTTTATTGCTTTTATCTTTTACTGTGTACTTTTTTTTATTGTTGTGCTTCTATTGTATTCTATCTATTCTATCTATTTATTCTGTATATGTTTTTGTGCAGCACTTTGGAAGCCTTGTGTTTGTTGAAATCGTGCTATATAAATAAAGTGG